CCAACTCAAATACAATATTGAATTTTTTCTATCTCCAATATTTGTCAGTAAAAGGGTTAAAAAAGTGTTTACTATAATCTTGTGTATTAATGGTTTTGATATTCGCTTGGTAATTAATTTCACACTATCAATGGTGACCATGATTAATATAAGCAAAAATAAAAAAAAACCAACTCAAATACAATATTGAATTTTTTCTATCTCCAATATTTGTCAGTAAAAGGGTTAAAAAAGTGTTTACTATAATCTTGTGTATTAATGGTTTTGATATTCACTTGGTAATTAATTTCACACTATCAATGGTGACCATGATTAATATAAGCAAAAATAAAAAAAACAAACTCAAATACAATATTGAATTTTTTCTATCTCCAATATTTGTCAGTAAAAGGGTTAAAAAAGTGTTTACTTTAATCCTGTGTATTAATGGTTTTGATATTCGCTTGGTAATTAATTTCACACTATCAATGGTGACCATGATTGTTTTAAGCAAAAATAAATCCCCACGAATATTACAAACTACACAGTGTATCATCGTGTTGATATGTAAGTCTATTGGTGCTAAATTATGGGCTGAAACTATGGAATTCCTGGAAACAAACCACCGGAATTGAACTTGGTGGTTGATGACCTGAAGTCAGAGGGATTCACATTTGATGTTCATTTATGTTTGTATAAATTATCTACCATATCATGTATATTTTACAATGCAATAAATATGTGTGAATGAAATTAAGGAACAAAATATACATTAATTTTTTGCCAGTATTGAACTCTTAATCAAAACGGATTATGTCAATCTTCTTGACGAACAAGTGTCTACACTTTCCATGGTATTTTAATATATTTACTGTACATGAGTTAAGGATCCCTGTATAACTGCCAAACATTGTAACAATATACGCATCGGAAACTTATTTTTCCGGCATTACTGTAACTTTGATAAATCATTTTTGAAAAGCAATCCATACATTTTGGAACTTTAATGGGAAATAATAAAGAGGCTAGACAGGAAGAGGCTAAACAGGATTCAAAGAGGCTAGACAGGATTCAAACTCTGGTCTTCAGGTAGTTATAATATCTCTCTAATCAATAGAGCTGCATAGTCAACGGAAGGGACCTGCCCAGCTGTGCTACAGTTACATCCAAACTTAGTTAAGGGGAGGTAACTGTATGTAGGAAAATCCACAGTGCAGTGGGACAGGGATGGAAGTTAAGGGTAGGTTACTGTATGTAGGGAAAACCACAGTGCAGTGGGACAGGGATGGAAGTTAAGGAGAGCCTACTGTATGTAGGGAAAACCACAGTGCAGTGGGACAGGGATCCTTAAGGTTTAAATGACAGGAAATTGATTTTATAATCTACTGTGTAATATATTGTTATAGTTCATAGTTAAAACTTCATCTAGACTAGGTGTTAGTTAGTTACTACGTTGGTTCTAGTGTAATTTACTGTATCCTGTCTAATAAATTGTATCTAGTTTGATTACATTGTATCCATGCAGTGTAATTACATTGTATGATTATATTTCTCTCGGGTAAAAGTTTATATTTGAAATAATGTTTTTGTGCCATTCCTGACTAGTATATTCACAATGTGTATAGTGATAAGGTCCTATTGGCCACTTCTCATTAAGGATCCTTATTCCACTGCAGACAAAACACTAGATAATGCAATTGTAGTTTTTCATACAAACATAAGCCTCAGCCCTTATTATCATTCTGGTTATAACTGTAGCGGGACTAGGCCAAGGTTCTACCATTGTCAGAGGTCATTGAACTTTCACAGAATTTTGTCAATGATACAGTACTGTATACCAGGGAATTTTTGCCCAATCAACTTTCCCATAAAGTCAATTTTTCACCCAGTGTTGATCTCGCCCTTTATTGTTTTTTAACTCATTCACCCCTGAAATTTTATAATGAACTATTCCAAACATTGAATTGGAAGAGTTCAAATGTGTCCTCAGGGGTGAATGAGTTAATTACCATGTTTATTATGCTGTTTACTTATATGCATTGTAATGATAACTTTGTCCTCATTACAGAGGGTGACTAAGGCTAAAATTATAATGCTGCAAAAATGTCCTGGTATACAGTAGAAAATCATCAAAGGTATAACATTGGAATCCATGTCTTGCCCCATTGCATTTTCACATTCAGAACACTGTTCCTACAAGGTATGGATTTAGCCATGCCGACAAAAGTTTCTAATTCATAGTTATAAATTTTAGTTAAAGAGTGGTACAGGGATCCTTAATTAAAACATGACTGATCCTGAAAAGCATATCATTATTATAGCCTGTAGTCTTAAATTGTTATATGATGATGCAATACAACATATGTCCAAAGCTTGATTCTGTAGCATATACAGGTATTGAAATATGGTGTTCCCTAGAATAAACATGTAGTGAATTATTTAATTATACCAGTACACATTTGTAAATAGGATACATGTATATCATATCTATGTTCATTGCCATGATCTACAGGGTTGTGACAGCCTGTTGTTATATTGAAGTACTTGTTGCCTAATAAACTGAATACCATATATAATTGTTAGTTTATTTCTGTTCAATTCACTCAACAATCTGTTAACATATTGTGTAGCATTTCTGGGCAAGTAGTCTTTGAATAGCAATGCTAGCTGACTTACCTTAAATTTGTGCTTTAATCAGACCCGGTTGACTGTATTAGGATGTTGTCTCTAAGAAACATTTTGTACTCTAACTAGCTCTTTGTAAGAGGAATATTGGGTCTTTATTTAAACTTTACACATGACTGACTTTCCATGAGAAAGGAATTTGTTTTAGAAACAATTGAATTTCTACAAGAAGGGTACAGTTAGCTACCATTAACCTTTTTCAAACAGGATATGGCTGACTTTCTTTGAGAAGGGAACTGTGCAATCTTCAAACTGACAGCTGGCAGCTGGTTCTGTAAGTCAGGATTTTGAAACCAATCAAAATGACAGATTTGTATGATTCATCAGTTTGTTTAACCCACGTCTTTTGGCCCGATTGGCCTTGGGAGTTGATAAACAGTAGAATTAATGGTAGGGAGTACGAGATCAAAGGTCCGGTAGTAGTATATAAACAATTGAATTAATGGTAGGGAGAACGAGATCAAAGGTCCGGTAGTAGTATATAAACAGTAGAATTAATGGAAGGGAGCACAAGATCAAAGGTCCGGTAGTAGTATATAAACAGAAGAATTAATGGTAGGGAGAACGAGATCAAAGGTCCGGTAGTAGTATATAAACAGTAGAATTAATGATGGGGAGTACGAGATCAAAGGTCCGGTAGTAGTATATAAACAGTAGAATTAATGGTAGGGAGAACGAGATCAAAGGTCCAGTAGTAGTATATAGTATGTTAAGTGAAGTTCTGCGTACATGTACCTCTGTTGATGGATTCCTAAATAGAATTCACTAGCTTGCCATGAGTGTACCTGGGCCATTTTCATTTAAACAGTCCAACCAGTCGGACCACTGTTGTTCGTTTATTAAATAAGGTAGGACCTAGAAATCTGATGCTAATTCAGGCGAGCCTTGACAGAGACTAGCAAGGCCTGGAATTTTGTTTTGCAGGTCCGCCAGGAATTATACTCGAAATTGTTACATTTACAACTGGTCAACCGGTTATTTAATTTACATAAACGAACAGGCCTCTGGTAATAGAAATTCAAAAAAGATATGACCAGAAATATTGAATTGGTAGAGAAGAAATAATGGTATAAATATATGAATATAGAAGTAGAAATATCTGTGCTCGGATCAACTTTTATTAATAACGTTAGGACATGATAGCACCGATAGACTCAATATTTGAGACAACAAAGCTCAACTGTTTACATGTTTCAGATATGTATTTACATTATCAACAAAATATGAATACCTTGTTTATGCAAATTGTATGTACTCTTGAAACAGAGCAAGTAGGCGTCAACTTCTGAATTAGAGTGTATGGGTCATGCATGAATAAATTAGAAAATGTCTGTAAGACATAAATGCCCCCGCTCATGGATGGGACAATACAGTACGGGAGGGGACGCATATGGCAACACTATATGCCCCCCCCCATTTTATGGCGGGGGCATAACAAATTCTTATGCAAGGATTTTAAGACACTTTGTCATGTTTCCTACAGAAATACATATGTATGATGTTCATGTATGAAGTTCTCTATTCTCCTTCATCTGATATATTTCTTCTCTTTATACATAGAGGATCTTACATTTGTGTCCATGTCATATTGAATTTAGTAAACAAGTTAAATATACATTGATATAACACCAGCCTGTACTACAGTAGGCTGGTGTCCTCAAACTGTTGAACTCGTTTGATAAACTCAACATGACATGGACACAAATGTAAGACTCTATTCATCACATTACATTCATAATTTGAAGAAAAAAAATTGAACACAATAATAATTGTGAGTCCTCATCTGACACTTTTTAGGTATGTCTTTGCATCTCAGTAGATACAGTTTTAGCCTTACATGTACATGATAATGTATACTGTAAACGTACTTCTTTTAGTGTGCTCGAATTTCAGCATTTTATCAAATCTAATCAAGATAAGTGCAATGATGTATTGATGTATCCACAATATCTGTAGGTAATACAAAAATTTATATAAAAATTTAAGTTGTTAGCACAAGCAATTATAAGTAAGTGCAATATTTAAATCATGAAAATCACTAAAATAAGATAACCACTAAAAAAAATACATTTACAGTATTATACAAGGATTTATGTCAGAGTTGTTTACGCTGTCATACTTGAAGCTTATAAATATAAAATTTACTTGAAACAGGTTTCCAACAATCAAGTATTTATTTGTGGTGTCAAAGATTCCTCATAACAGGACAAATATTGAACAGCTCCTTTAAAGAACCACATTACAGTTTTAGGCGGCCGGGGTTGGATTCCCCGATGGGACGTGAAATGGTATTGGATTACATGCTCGATCACGTTGGTTTTCTCTAGGTACCCCGGTTTTCCTCCAACATTTAGACTCTCCGCACGCTAACATCAGGGCCAACAAGAGTGATTATTATCGGTTGAAATAACTTGTTTTATAATTGTTGTAAAATAAAAAAAAAAATTACATCTAGTATATCATGGACCAATTTAATGCCTCGTTCAAAGTACCTTTCTTCAGCTGACATGTTCACAAACTGCCAGTATGGCTGTTATAATTTTCAAATATTATTTGTTACATCATGGTAGAAATACCCCTGCCAGTAAATGACATGAAAAAACTTAGATACACATGGTTGATAATAAAGGGGGTCTTTATTTTAGGAAAATCTGTTTTACCTGCCTTTATGCCCAATTCAGTGAAACTTACATGTAATGATGAATGATCAAGATAAGTCCCAGTCTTTGGTATACATAATATGAGATAAGAATGTAACAGATCCCTGTATGTGACATCAAGTCATCTCTTACTGTGTATATTGATCAATTATTGACTTTTGCTGAGGTAAATATGTGGTTATATAGACCTGAGTATGTGATATTGACCGAGATGAAGTCGAGATCAATATCATCTTTCAGGTCCATATGACCGCATATTCGTCGAAATAAAAGTCCTTAACCCTTTCACCCCTAGGTAACTTTAGTAGACTCTACCATGCATTTTTCGGGATAAGTCCATTATGGTCTACGGTGGTGAAAGGGTTAATAATTATAATAGATGTAAAAATAATGCTTAAATCATTACACAAGATGGAATGTATGACAATTGTCAGAAGGTATGTAATAATTGACCCGTTTTGTTACAATGTGCTGCATTAGGTACAAAGCATTGTGACGTCACAATTAAAATGACGTCATAAAGCAAACATTCACCTGTTGTTTCTAAAAATAGTAATTTTGAGTCAATATCAGAAATCACGGACCTCCACATGAGTAAGGTCCAACCAATGAGGATGTAGGAAAAAATGTGTGTCATCTAATACATGTAAACATGACAGGATGAAGACATCAACAGATCCCTGTGTGTTAAAAGCAGTTGTGTTTCATTGGTAGCGGTTCTGGCGCCTCTGTCGGAGCTCTTCTAAGTCAGGGTACAGCCTCTCCTGGTTTCCACCTGTAATTAAAAAACACAAATCTTGTACAGGTCAGTTTTCTCTGTCAGTATCATTAATATATATAATTTCCAAAGTTCTGTCGGTCAAACTCCCACTCTTTTAATAGCCTGAGTTTCCCCTGGCCCTGACACCAGACTTAGACATTTTGACAGATAGATGTCTGGTCGAGGTTCCCCTGGCCCTGACACCAGACTGAGACATTTTGACAGATAGATGTCTGGTCGAGTTTCCCCTGGCCCTGACACCAGACTTTGACATTTTGACAGATAGATGTCTGGTCGAGTTTCCCCTGGCCCTGACACCAGACTCGGACATTTTGACAGATAGATGTCTGGTCCATTAGTTAACCTCATGATATTGTCACCATTTGTCTAGACAAATTTTGGCACTATAAAGGGGTTTGCCAATAAGTGAAGGGAAATGAATAAAGGACCTCTTAGGAAAAAGAAAAAAGGGGACGTTGAAATATGAACTACATGAAGTGGCAAATGAAACGAGGGGCATTATATCAAAGTTTTACTGTATTTTCGAACTGATGAATCGTATTAAAGATAATTTACACCTTGAAGTTTTCACATGTCAGTTATCATTGTCAAACACACAGATTTTACTATGGAAGGTCTACCTCTCTCCATTGTGAATGAAGATTTACCTCTGTTCTGACGGAGACTTTCCTCTGTTGCTCTGCGTATCTGTTCCTCCTCACTAAGTCCTCCAGTGTGGGTACTATAGTCCCCTCCCCCCGGGGCACTGCCATCTACATTCCAGCCATAACCTCTTGGTGTCCCCCGAGGCTCGTTGTTTGGGTCTCTGTATCCAGATCTTTGTCCTGCATCAGTACAACATTGAGAAAGATGGTTTAGCATGAAATCTGGGATATAGGAAACAAAGCAATCGCCTGACTCTAGTACCAGTAATGTTAACGGTACAGTAATCTCTGCAACAATGTCTGTAATAAAATCGACAATTATTATAACACTAACGAGAAAGGAAGCATGAAAATCATTAAGTACTTATAGCCATTCAAGCACCTTTCGGAAGAAACAAAATTTCTCCTTTATATTGTGATCAGCATTAAACTAGAACTGTAAGCCAAAGGCTAACTAATACCCCCGCTCCTATATAAACCAGATCTGTAAGCTTAAGGCTTACTAGTGCAAATCAATATAGTGTACCACCAGTAATGAGTTAATCACTATTTTATTAAAAACAATTACAAAAATTGAAATAACAAAAAAATAAAATGTAGATGCAGAATTATTTGGTCACTTTTATGTCCCTGAAAGGAGGACACAAAAGCAAATCCCCAATTCTGCAGGGGATCCCCACATTAGTCGCCTCTTACGCTCATGAAACAGCAGGTGTATTCTTTTCATGTTCCCCGACCTGCAGGGGTGTCACAAACATCATAACAATTTACAGATTACATGTATGTTAAAGGCCAACAAGTATTTCGCACAAAGGGGCATAACTCCATCAAAAAGGGTCAGAATCCCAAATTAAAATGCCGGTGCACAACTACATAAGATACCGATCATTCATGCAATGTTTCAATGAAATTCACCTGTTAGTTAAGGAGGAGTTGCAAGGACAAGTATTTCGCACAAAGGGGCATAACTCCATCAAAAAGGGTTGAATCCCAAATTAAAATGCCGGTGCACAACTACATAAGATAACGATCATTCATGCAAAGTTTCAATGAAATCCACCTGTTAATTAAGGAGGAGTTTTACAGACAAGTTACTGCGAATGACATCCAGACATCCAGACAGGGTGATTCTAGCATACCCTCATTAACTTCGTTGCGGGGATATAAAAAAGTTTTGGATTAACACTCAATCTGTTGCAGATATTGGAAGTCTGTCCATAAGCTATGGCAACCATATTTACTCATGGTCCCCGACTCAAAATTACTCTGAGTAATATAATGTGACATTTATATGGGAGATGTAAATTAGATGAGAAAACAAATTACATTTGGATGTCTCGATCATAATCATACCTACTGTTATGACCATTTTCTAGGATATGTAACATTAATTTTATCACAACTTAGTTCGTAGGTCGTCTCAAAGCAGTTCACAAATTATTATCCATAGTTATAGGGCCTTCGCAACCAGCCAATATCTGTCTCAACTCTCTGGGGAGCATAAAGCCGGTGCTGCAATTTCAGCACTCACAGTTAGCATTCCACAATTCTAGCACTCAATCATGTTCTCATTTACAGCTGAGTAGACTGAAAAAAGTGGAGTAAAGTATCTTGCTCAAAGATACAACACAGTACTGTGACTCGAACCTGCAACCCTTCGGTTACGAGCCTGGCGTCCTACCACTAGACTACCGTGCCCCTTAATTAAGACAATTCCCTAACTCCATGTAGAGACAGTGTTGTACAAGACCGGTTTTGAGGGCTGAAAAACGTCAGAAAATATGTATTCTGTTTATGTCATGTTTCTGTTAATATCATGTTTTTCTCTGACAAATGGGAAGTGATATTAAGCGAAATCTACTGTAATTGGTACACCACATTTCTCTACACAATCAATATATAATTATAATCAATCCTGACACTTAACATACAATTATTTTAATACACAGTATAAGACCTCCATATAATGCCCTGGGCTTCCTTTGCAATTCTCCCTTATATTAATTACCGCCAATATATTTCACAGCCCTTTTTTCTCATGAGTTCCTTTATATGTTTACCTCAGTTTATCAGCAAAACCCTTTACTACGTCAAAGTTTCTCTGAACCAATGGTGGCAGTATAACAGGGATTTATTGTAGGCAACTAGTCTGAGACATTATTTAATAAATCCAAAGTCTAGCTGTACTTACCAGCGCCTGCCCCATAATTATACCTAGTGTTAGAGCCACTGGTCTGAGCTGTGTAAGTGTAGGAAGGCACTGAAACACAAAGCAGTCGTTCCGTTTCACATTTTAAATAAAATATGGACTAGAGTCACAAAAGCTTAGTCAATACCCTTTAAGATTACGTAACAAGGGTAACAGTGATATTGAGCAATGACCTCTATATTGGCACTCTCAAATGAAAGATGTAGTTATTTCACTTTACATAATATAAAACAAGATAAATGTTGTGCTTATGGCATCCGCGATACTCCAGGGGTAATGCTCACTTTCGCTCTCTGCCCCCCTGGAATATGGCATAGCAAAATTGAAGGCACACTGCTAGCTGTTGATTGGTGTCAGGTAAAAACACCTGACCAATTGCTAGGCTGATGTCTTTGAAGATCATAGAGCGGTGGCACCCGACTTCAAACCCAGTAAATTGCACTGTTATGCTACCACAAGATTCTTTTGATGTACATTGAAGTATCAAACTAGTCTCTTTGTCTTATCCACAAGATGGCATACACTGAGCCTTCGATTTTGTTCTGACATGAGCATACATGTAACCCCTGGAGTATTGAGGATGTGTTTATGGATACTGAATGTTTTGTAAGTGAGAAAGCCTTTTACCTGTGGGTACAAGACTATCCATCAGGGCCTTGAGGGGACCTTTAATGTAGAGTAGACCTACTAGTATTCCTGCCAGATGTCCTACAACACAAACATTTCATTAGGATTTAAGTCTCAAGCAAGAAACTTCTGGGTTTGTATTCACAAAACCTTTACAATGCATGCCCAAATCATTGATATTCCTGGGTTTACGCTCACTTATGTAGAGAGCGTAAGTGACAGTAACCCCGTGGAGTATTGAGGATGGCATGCTCAAGTCTGGGCCCAATTTCATGACACCATTCTCATGCTCAAATTCAGATTTTGTGCTCAAGCCCAATTTCGTGTTTTGGTGATAAATGTCAGTAAATAAAAATTCACATTTTCTCTATGATTTGTAAAAAGCCAGACATGGTTTTCTATATTTACACTTGACCATTTAGCAGTACCGTGTCACAGAATTTAAATGAATTGCAAGAAAGTTGGTTAGAGCTCGGGCACAGATTCGATGCTTCAGCAAGATTCTGTACTTCAACCCATTTTCTTGTCACTCACTCAAATCAGGTAACATGGTCAAAAAGTCAAGTGTAATCATTGAAAACAGTAATCGGCTTCCAAGTCTATTCTTAATTTTTCCTTTAGCGGAACTGGACTGGGCAACTGCCTGTGACAAGGTAGCTCAATTGGTAAGAGCATCCGTCTAGAGTTCGGAGGGTCCCGGGTTCCAGGCCCGTTCTGGTCATGCAATACTCTTTCCCCTGTTACATTCCAAATCATGGACAAAATAAGAGAGTAGTATCGATATACCATTAAATCAAGAAATTGGGCTTGAGCACAAACCTGAGTTTGATCATGGGAGTTGTTTCATAAATTATGACCCCTGATGTCCCCATTTACAATCCTGTTTGCTTAAATATGAATTTATGAATGTATTTGAATTATACTTGCATCCATGTATGCTTGTTAGTCTGCAAGGAATCCAGGAATTTGGTGCCTAGATGTAAATTTGTGAAGTTATTTTTGGTGGATAATGTATAATTTAAAGGCCAGACCAAAAATATGCATGTGTTTCCTAAAATTAGGGTAGGTAGGTAACAAATCCTATTTTAACAAATAATCTTATATGGTTTATATAGGAGTGTGATCTTGACTTTGACAGTACTTTTATGAAAATTGCTTTGGAAAGTTAAGGGTTATAAGGCACAAAAAATTAGGGTAGGTAGGGTTATCGGAAACACAAAATATTTTTTGTTTGGCCTAATCCTTGCAGAAAAAATGTCCTCATGTTATCTTGATGACAGAACAAGACACTTCAGTTATTGGACATCACTAAAACAAATTAACCAGAGAACAGTAAAGTTCACAGTGCTTACCTGTAAATGAAGCATGCGGCGTTATGATTTGTATGATGACCAGTTCTGCCCAGAAGACCATACGGCTGGGGACAGGGATGAACCCCATCACATACTGGGTCCCTCGGGGGCTGTAGTGACTTACCAATACCTTCAGGGCAAACAGCACACCTGTAGGTCAAAGGTAAAGAATGTCTGACACACGATATACATATGTGTATTCAAATCTTCATATTAAGCAACTTTTTTCAAGTTTTGACTTTTTAGGTTAATTCCATCAGAGGGGTTTTCAAATTTGGTAAAATCTGAGGCTTTGACAAATTTGAAAATCCTCAGGGTACAGTCAATATATTGAAATGTGAAAAGGTTTTATTTTCATCACGTTGCCTTTTCTGTATTGTGGCATCC